TATCTTGGCAGCATCAAATATATCTATGTATAAAACTCAGTACAATACAAATACAATTTCAATATATTCATTTCAATATCTTGCCTCAGCATATTTATATTATCGATCGACCAAGCAATTTCCTGCTTCGCATTTAAATGTAATTTAGCTTTGTTAACAGAAAATTACTAGATTCTGCTCGAATATTTATACAATACTACTTTTTGGAGCAATCCACGAAACAGTTGTCCTACACAATCCTATTAGCTGAAGTTTCCATGAGGTTCAATATCAAACATACAATATGTATGTATCCATCTATCTGCGTAGTAGAATTTAATATGGATAATATTCCTACATATATTTAGTGAGACATTAGCATAACTGAATGTATTAGTGCATAAAGTATTGTTCAGAATATGGAATTGATTTATTTGAAAACTCTTTGAATTCAATTCATGCATGGCAATTGCCTTGAATTCAGTTTGCACAAATCGTTTATGGAAAACATTAAAGTTTCTTCATTAGTTTGCAGAACAAATGAACAAATATTATAAATATATATTTGTTCGAGAGCGTAGGAAATACGCATCCATTTCGATCATTACAATTTTAAGTCTATGCACTAACAACTTACCCTTACCGCCTAACACGAAAGAACAATGCCATTGTTCTTTCTCTATCTGCGCTATCACTGTCTCTATCATATTCGTTTCTTTGGATTGTTCATTAACGAGTTTCAATAGGTATTTGCTAATATTAATGATGCTAATGCATTATGCAAAATACGAGTTTAAATTGGGATTCGATGAGAGGAAGCATGAGGTTGCTTGACGATGTGGAAGTGGATGATTTATTGCGCTACCAACCGCTACTGCTGCTCTACGTGCTACGTCCGATTTGCAACCAGGCGAGCAACAACTGCAAAGCCGGCTGTAGCAGCACTAGTTTTCAGATATCGGTATTGATATTGATGCGGGTCAGAAACTCGCCTTGCGAATCGGCCACAGCGCGTATTATCTCCAGCAACAGTTCGCGCGACAAACCGGCTATCTTTGGTAGCCTGGCCACCTTGGCAAAATCTTTCACAATTAATTTCAATGCATAATCCTTGATGTCATAGATTTTAGTTATATCTGACGCCTCCAGAGTCTGCAGGACATTCTCTGACGTTATGTTATGCTCCAATGAGTATTTGCAAAATGCATGCAAACGATTATTTGATAGGCCATAAAAACATGGTGCCTGGAACAGATAAAGCGCATCCTGCGGCGGCATCTTTGTCTCCCCATAATAAATATATCGTAGCAGCGAATGAAAAGCCTCCAGTGAGGGTGAAATTTCGCCAATTTGTATCTAATAGAGAAATTGATTATTAAATTACATATATTTAAAATATAATAGTGGCACTTACATTAACGGTATTATCCGGTGGCATAAACGAGCGGAACATGCCCTGGAAATAGGTACAACGTGCTGATAGTACAGACTTATGGGCCGCTATCACCTGATCTTCCAGTATGAGACTTATATCGCAGAAGTCTTTACCCGTTGTCTCTAAGAACATGGACAAATCGTGCTCCAATGTGGTACCTAAATATATATGCGTAGACATGGATTAGGATATGTAGTAGAACTGATGTTACCCGGCCATGTCCGAGCTGAATGTTTTGTTTTTATTTATTTTTGTTATTGTTTCACCAATCTGCACAAGAAGCATCATATTTTTATACAAAGCTTACAAACTTAGTTCAAGTCCGAGCCGTCAACACGAACACTTGACCATTCACATCCCATTTCCATCCAGGAGGCACATTCATTGTTAAAAAGTTAGTTTAAATATACTTAGATAGGTTCAAAAACAAAAAAATAACCTCATCTAAATGCAAACTTAAGTCGTAAAAAGATACTATTGCGACAAATCAAGAGCATACCAGACTATATATATACTCTGTGCAAATACTCACCAATATTCGACTCAAAGCTGGTGTCCATGACCAGCTTGCTGGGATGCAAACGCTTGCGTATTATCTCGACTAGAAGCGGCTTGTCTAGATCACTAAACTCACTAGACATGACCACCTCGGTGAAGTTCTCGTCTTTGATGATGAACTGCATGCAATGATCCTTGATGATTTTAATGCTGATGCAATTGAAATTTAAAAATTTGATGAATTAAAAGTTCGTCAAGGTCACAGTGCTGAGAACTCACTTGTTCTTGTCCGCATTGTAGAGCGCTTCGAGCACATTTATCTTGTTGATTTTAAAGTCCAGATACTGTATGCAACCCTGCGCCAGGCGGGGCATCGTGAAAAGGCCAGCCAGTTGATAGATGTCCGTGATGAGAATGATGATGTTCTTGTTGTATGACTCCTTTAGGTCAATGCGATCCGTATAAATGTAGTTTAGTATGATCTCGAATGCCTCGGGCGAGGCATGTGATAGTCGCACTTCCAGCATGGGCGTGCGATCGGCGCCAACACCCGTATTCAACGCAAGCGCATCTACCTGGCCAACGCCGTAGAGCTTTTCCATTTGATGTTGAAGCGCCTCACGCGCCGACAATATCTTGTTCCGCAAATACTTGGAGCGTGCTGCCACAAAAGCAATGTGGGCCAGAATACGGATCTCCTCGGCACCCACCACAAACTGGATATCACAGAACTGTTTTTCGTGAAAGAATTTGCCAAAGTCATCGCGCAGCGTGCACTTTGGGTAGCTGGAGAACTGAAAGCGATAAGTATCGCCGCGTCGTACGCTGTTATCAACGGTGCCGCCAAAGATATACATTGCGTCGCTAATGACGGCCGATGCATGGAACACACGACCAGATGGCACATCCGAGTTCTGTTCCGGCTGTATGACGGACCACACCTGTGAGTCCAGATCGTAGCAGTGCAAATCATTTGGCAACATGGAGTCAGCTGAGCCGCCAAACACATAGAGGAAACGATCGTGATGCACCATAGTGTGACCATAGCGTCGCGATGGTGGCGCGGAGGTGGCACCACGCAGAACTGGTTCATTGGAGATGCGACGCCAAGTGCGCGTCTTAAAGTGAAACTCAAACAGAGAATTTGTGATCTGTAAGCCACTCTGGCCAGAGAAGACGTACATGGCATCGCGTGCAACGGCGACGGGGAAATTGCAGCAAGTAGGCGGGCGATCACCTTGCTGTTCCACCTCCTCCCATTGATGATTTTCGCCGGTCAAATTTAATGTCCACATATCGTTCAATCGCGCATTGCCATCGTAGCCAGCATAAATCCACATTTTGTTATCATAAACCGCGGCACCATGCGCCGAACGTGGCACTGGTTGCCTGCCTGAAAACTTCCATTCCACCCACATAGCGCTGAGAAACTTATACTCAAACAAATCATTCTTGTTGGTCAGATTCGAGTTGGAGTGTATGTCGCCCGTATAGCCGCCAAAGATAAACATTGAGCTGCCTGCTACTACGGCTGAATGATGATAGCGCGGAGCCGGTGGTGTGCCCGTTGCGCATGCACGTCCCCACGACTTATCTTTGACTCCGAACCGAATTAGATCGTTGAGCATGGTCTTGCCATTGTCACCGCCAAACACGAACATGGCATCCTTGTAGGCAACCACAGTGTGCTTGCTCCGTCTGAAACGACCAAATTTATATAGTGGATAATTTAGCTTTCTTTCACCTGGATGTGTACTACTACTCACTTTGCGCCCACAAACTCAGCACACTCCAGCATGCGCGACCATTGATGTGTTGCCGTATAGGTGCTGAAGTCAACATTAAGCGCATTGCAACTGTAGCTGCCTGGAGAGTTGACCTTACCATTGAAGCTGCTGCAGCTGCCATTGCTGTTTGAATCGTAGGCTATGCTGCTGCAACCGGATGGTATAACAGCCGAGGCGGTGCTACTGCTGCTGCTGCTGCCAGCACCATTGCCGCGAGTGCTGCGCATGGAGCTCGATGTCGACATTCTTAGATGGTTGCGTATATGTTGCGCGTCCAAGCAGCCAGCCGTTGATGCACTTTTTCGCGCCTTACCCCGCTTTCCTGATTTCGATTCGCGCGCTAGCAAGACCTCAGCCCCAGAGGCAAGTGCCTGCTGCTGCTGCGAGCTGCTCGCCACGCATGCAGGGCAATACACGGTAGCTGGTGTGCTGCCACCACTTGCACTTGTACTGCCACTGCCACTGCCACTGCCACTGCCACTGCCACTGCCGCTTCCGACCAAGCCACAAACTGCACTTAGCCCACTTGATATTGAGCTAGAACCGTGGCCGTAACTGGCTCGGCTTAGCGCTCCAGCACTTCGACTGCTGCCACTGCCACTTCCCCCGCTACTGCCGCTGGCCGCGACAACGCCAACGCCTTCGCTTGGTAGATCTTCCGCAGAACCATTCGTGTCCGCGCCTAGTATGGACTTAAGCATTAAAGCATTACAGGTGTAAAATCTCCTTCGTTGGCTTATCTTGATGAAAATTGCGTTGCAGGGCAGGGCCTTGCTCAACTCAGACGCTATTTGCGAGATCTCTTTTCACTACCTCTGCAGGTCAAGAACTAGCGATGGGCAACCAAGACATTTGCAAAGCAAATATTAATTCCTTATCGATAGGTCATATTAATTTTCCTTTATCGATAGTACATATCGGCAAAGCATTCATGGACATTGTCACTAATAATACAGATAATACCATTAGGCGATTGCGTTATTGTTTTCTATTCGCAACGATACTTTAAAGCGATGACGTCAAAGCTATTGCCGAATTGTTTAACATGAGTGAATGCTACACTGAATCCCCCAAATATATTGTAATACTGGCGTGATTATAATTCTACATGTATTTATTAGTATGATTTATACTGTGGCTATAAAGATGGAAGTAGACAAATTAATCTTTAGAATTCATCAAAATACAAATCATATGCTAGCATTCATGACGTCATGCATACAAATAAATAATAATAAAACAGCCGGTATGCTAGCCGGTGTGTTATCTTAACTTGCGATAGTTTTCGTACCTTGGAAGCAAAAAAGCAACCCTGCTAAGCAGTAAGATTGTGGCAAAAACGGCAAATACCTTATAAATAAAACGAAATCACTTAAAACAATAATATTTAAATATATAGCCCTACAACAGTGTGGTTCATTGCCTCGCATACAAAATGGCGAGCAGCTCACGGACCACAATCCTGCCGCAGTCGAAGGAAGCGCTACTAAAATCTTACAATGCGCGCCTTAAAGACGATGTGCGAAGCATGTTGGAAAACTTTGAAGGTAATAACAACTGAATTAAATGCTATATAGCCAAAGAAATAGATTTGGAGCGAACCGAGAATTCGCAGACGCAGTTTGCCTAGAAAAATGATTCGGTACTACGTTCGCGACGCAGACGTTGAGGACGCTGTCGAATCATTCGGTAGAGCAGCTCCATGCCCTCGAGAACGCCATGTCCGTTGGTGGCGCAGACGCCGTGTACCGTCCAACGCTGGTGTAGGTCATGCAAACGCAATCGTAAGGCTAAATCCCCCGGAGCTATGGCATCTGGCAAATCCTGCTTGTTGGCGAAGACCAGCACAACACTGTCCTTAAGCTCGTTCACACGCAGCGTGGAATGAAGCTCAGTCATGGCCTCGGGAAAGCGTGCAACATCGGCGGCATCTACCACAAATATAATACCAGCCGCATTGTTATAGTAATAGCGCCACATAGATCGTACGCGCTTTTGGCCGCCAATGTCCCAGACTGTCAGACGAAGACGCTTGTATTCCAATATCTCTACATTGAATCCAATGGTCGGTATATTGGTTAAAGTGGCACCCAGCTTAAGCTGATACAGCGTTGTGGTCTTGCCAGCCGCATCCAGCCCAATCATTAGCACACGCACATCCTCCTTGGCAGCGAACCGATCGAAAAAAAATGAAAATGAAGTACCCATTATGAAGACGATTGCAAACTTGTTAACTCTATTTATGAATGACAATATTCACACACGTTCTGGGTCCAACTGTAGCTCTGCCTAACTGCCACAAGACAACCATACATAGCCTCTTTCTCTCTCAATGAGTCTCAAAGCATTTGTTTATGCCACCCGATACACGAAGTGTGTGTTTTCTCTTTTGCACTCCGCTCTCGAACAATAACTGAATCGTTTATCCATTTGTTTACAGAAATACTGAAGCTAGCACGACGCGAGAGCCACATTCAAATTTCAAAGACAACACAGTGCGAGCAGGATGCACTAGAGATGCAAGTGCGAGCTGCCAATATGGGTAAGTGTCTGACGTTAATCCAAATACATGGGCAACATAAAGAAAACCAGTTCGTTTTGGACTGCAAAAGCTTAAATACCCTTACAGAACTATGACCTACTACCGCAGATCTATTGGAAGCTATATAATATAAATTATACGTATAGCTAAAACATACTTTTCCACATAAATATCGTCTCAGAATAATTAAATTTTTAACTCACATCTGTCTCCTTGAAGGCATTGCATATTTGCGAAACTTTATGAAAGAGTATAACAGCCGTTTTTCTGTTTCACAGTGCGAGCTGGTGAATCGCTGATGAAGCTAGTTGCCGATCTCAAACAGTATCTCATACTCAACGACTTTCATTCGGTGAATGAGGCAATTACAAACAACTCACAGCTGTTTCGGACCACACAAATTGAGTGTGATAAAAAGCTGATGAAGCTGCGCGATGAAATGGCCATGGACCTATACGATCTGGAGGAAGAGTACTACACTAGCATATTTAAATAGATTCTAACTAGCATACCTTGTGTACGTGTATACCTTGTGTGTGTATATATATAAGTAGAGATTATGATGATGGAATGAAAACGCGTTCGATTATTAGAAATTGTAAAACTTCTATTGAGGATTAACACTGCTAATGCTGGGACGATTCCTGCAGACCGTGTGATTATCTTGATCACCTTGCGACACAGAGGACAACGATGCCGATGTATTGTCCGCTGAGCAGAGCTCATCGTTGACGTTATCCACAATGTCGCCGGTATAGAAGAGTATCGCCTTGGGCACAATTTGAGTGCGGAGCAGATATCCCACCTCAAAGTCGGCGCCGAGTACCATTTTGGTCTTCTCATCGGCCAACGATAGATCCATCGCTTGCGGCGGTGAAAAGAATCGAAAGAAGGACTCTCGTGGCATCACCTTTGGTATATTGCGTGCACCTTTGCGAAGTCGTTTCTGTTTCACCGTCTGTAATGTCAAATTGGAGCCATCCCGCCAGTGTATGTGACAGCCCTCACAACGTACAATTTCCGGACCCTCGAACATAAATGGATAGTCTTTGTCCGCCTCGTGGCGCAGTATGTATTTCTTGGTCAGCAAGAGCGACGACGTGTGCAAATATCCGTTTGGACGAAATTGAAAAATAACTGTGTAGCTATCTGGTTCGTAGGTAATGCGCACGTCCACCAGACACTCAAGTAATGGCTCATCATGCTCCTGAACTAAATCTGAGATGAGAGCCACATTCCGAAAGACCGTTAGCCAAAAGCGCGGCACGCCCATCGCATTGGCTGGCAAGGGTTGCAGCTGTTCGATCATGTGCTTGAACTCGTCTGTGTTTTTAATCTCCTCAAGCAGGTCGTCGGGCTCCTCATGCCAATAGCGCTCTATAGCCGGCGGCTCCACATCGCCGGCCACAATATCGCGACGGACATCGAAGAGTGTACAGCTCTGCAAATAGAAACGCTTCTCCAGCTCATAGACCTCACGAAAGAACTGTTCTGAAATCTTTATTTGCTGCAATTGATTGTGCTTCAGTGCCAATACCCGATTGTACACCGTCTTTGGCAAACTGTCCACCATATGCTGGAGAAAGGCCCTGCGACTATTCGACGGCATCTCGGATGGACTCAGATTCGGATTGTCAGAGATGACACCGGGACTACGACTCCGGCTACGACTATGACTACGACTCCTACTACGATTGCCAATCGGCGAATTCTTCGTCTCCTTGACATTAACGATAGTCGCCGTTGAACTGACTCCCGAGCTGGTGTCAATGTTAAGCATCTCAAAATCTGATAATTTTGCTGTGAATTTAGAACGAAAATCTGACAAAAATTCTTTTATATATCTTCAATCTTTTGAAAGCACAATGAAATTTTTATCGAAAAAAAACAAAACTAAAACCCAATTTTACGAGACTATCAAAATGGACATAGGATAATACTATCCAAATCTAAATTGAGGTAACGAATTAGTTTAAGCATGACCTATTCTTCATAGACAGCTAAATTGTATAGTAAATATACGCCGATATATATCTCCAGATTTAACGTAACTATGTTATACAGCAGAGATCAAGACAAGAGCAAAGCGAAACAATATCAAGTGTAAGGATATAAATTATTATTTATACTCTGAACCCATTACAAATAGGAATTCAAAGTAAAATGCTTTTGTGTAATAGACGGAAGGAGGCGTTGTAGATGTCCTAAGTTATATTTTTTCTTGATCAGGGTATCTGCTAGCCTGGCACTGCCGACTAGAGCACTCTCACTTGTTTTTGTGAGTTGTATTCGTTCTTTATTACACTTAAGAGTTATGCTACAATGGATTGTCGTAACCTAGGTCAGTGAGGCTTGTAGCATGAATGAGGATTGACAGCATAAATAATACACTTCGTGGCAATGACCATGTAAGAATAAACTTTGGTTTTTCTTATCGTAAGCATACGGTTCGAGCTGCCTGGGCTGGATCGTTGCTAATCCCAGGCATAAGACTTGTGATAACACCAATCGTTGTCTTTGACTCAATAAATCACCAGACACATAAAATACGTAATAGGTATTTATTTATTCTTGCTTTATTTTCTTTCATTATTTATTGATAGAAAATCCCAAATAATTGCCTTATCTAATCGAAGAATGCTTACGGTGTTTGTCCGCTCAGCTCAAGTGTTGTGCTCCAAATTATTTTTAAATATTTATAGAGCTTCTGACTTATACCTCGATCCAAAATATGCCCAACTTTCTGAGCTTGAATGCCTATTAATTGAAATCTATAGCTTATATATATGTTAAGTGCGATCACAGTTGCCGCATATTGGAAACTTGTAGGCAAATAGTTAGAATCAAAGAAATCTTCTCGATTATACGATTTGGTGTAGTTTCAGTTTGGATTTAGATCGGGTCAGCCAACGCCGTTCCTAGTTAAACTAGGTTATGCTCTTCAACTCAGCCTAAACTCCTCTACACATGTCTTTGAGTATGGCTTCGGTCTGTCTCTGGGCTAAAAACAAATATATTTATTTTTATTTACTCACTATGATTAAAGAGTAACATTATTTTATCACAAGGAACTTCACATATATATACATATAAAAGAATTGAAAGAATTGCTTAGAATATAAAATCCTCTTCGCTTTCTTGGTCCAAGTTGCTTAGACTACGCTCGAAGCTCTTGATGCGCTGATACCACTCCGGATCGTTGGCGGATACCGAATCTGGTCGCCCCATTTTGTGCCTGTAGAGGTATTCAGCATGTCCCTGGCCGGCGATGCCGTTCACGGTGCAGGCGACAAACTGATTGTAGACCTTGGACTCCCAGTCGCCACCCACATAGCGCACGGCACTGTGCTCCACGCGTATTTGCACTAGGTACGAACGTTCCGCGGTGTCCACTATAAAGTTTTGATGCTGTGGCGGGATGCCCTTTTCGCCGTAGGAGTATAGCTCGAAATTGCTGGCCGTTATGGGCAGATAGACACCCTCGGACGTGCACACGTAGCCCACCTTGAGCGACGATAGAAAGAAGGAGGGCTGGCTTAGATTGCCAACGACCATGCTGCTGCCATCATCCAGCAGCAGAGCGAAGTACACATAGCGATTGATCGAGCTGAGACAGCGCTCGGTGCCGAAGCTGTGATCCCGAATGCCGTGCAACTCCAACTGCAGTTCTCGCTGGCCTAGCGCAATGCTGCCCTTCAGCTGACCGTGCTGCTCATAGTGGGTGCGCTTCTCAATAATATGGCCGACCGACTTGAGCAAGCCATAGAAGCTTTCGTCCCAAGCCTCGCGCGCAACAGAGTCAGCAATTAGGGAAGAGCTGAGATCGCGATTGTAATTGAAGTGCTCCGCTTGGCTATTGAATTGCACATCCAGCTGCACATCCACCAACTCCGATTCGCAGCGCAACTGACCGAAGTACTTGATTCGCCATAGACGCATCGATTGCTCCGGATAAATGTGAAAGCCAGCGCCACGAAATTCGATGCTTTCCTCGCTGCCATCATTGGTAAAGTGCACCATGTCAGGTAGCTTGGGCAGCATATAAAGCTTACCACTAGGTAGCCAGAGGTAGAGCGCAGCTTTCAGTACGCCGCGCCTGCGTCGCTCTAGAGAGATCATCAGCTTCTCGCCAGCTGCATTGGCAGCCATGAAGCTGACCACATCGTAGCACTTTGGATTGTTTGTCAGCGGTTGGGGCCGATCAAGCGTGGCCAGATGTGACTCGGAGCTGAGCTCCTCCTCGTTGCGTTTGTAGATGCGATAGCGCAGCTGGCGCAGCACAAGCAGCGCGATGCGATACTTTAGTCGGTAAAAAATGCCCTTGCAAGGATATTTGCCAAAGATGAGCACAGACTTGCGACTCAGCAGCAGCAGGCCAAGACCAAGCACCACCATGAAAATGCCCAGAAGGGGCAGCACCACAAGCAAACCCAGACTAAGGAACGCCAGCGTTAGGCCAATACCAAGACAGATAATCAGAAGCATGTTGCTCGCAGTTGAATCGCGTTTTCGTTACTGATGGATTTCTAGCAGTGCGCATGCAATGCATGCTAACTACTTCAGTTTGATAAGCAGCTGGATTCGCAGCAAACCACTTGGTCAGGTCTCTTATCTATCATTGGAGTCTTATCAGGCGACTTTATCCATAGTGATTAACTTACTAGCAAACATTAGTCATTGAAGCCGATCGATTGCTCAATTAATATTACATTTTCTGATGGTCATAAATCTGTTGGCAAAGTTTTATATTTAATTTATGATTGTTTATGATACAATTCATTGTTTGATTCGTTTTCCGCGCCCCATTCAAAGCGATTGCCTAGCATTTATCTTTTGTCAGCGCATTCGGGTACGTGCACATTTAGGTTTTGTGCAATTTTAATGCAAAATCATTTTGCTTTTGTATGGATACGTCTGTGCGACTGCCTATGAAGGGAAATATGCAGACAACATATTGAAAAGATTTAACATCATCAAAGAAATATCAATCAATTTTCAGGGTCTTTGAAATTATGATGACTCTTCGAACTAAAGCTTTTAGCTTTGCAAGCGTATAATGTATATAACTGTGTATAAAAATCAAGCAGCTCTTGTCAGAGCTCATAAAATCGTGCAATTGTACCAAATAGTTCAGTATTTATTATTGAAAATGTATAGATTAAAGAGACAATTATATACGAATAAAAACACATTGAAATAAAAAAATTATTGTTTCCTTTTTCAAATTTAATAGCCTTGCTCTTTCACAATTTTTCGCATCACACAGTATAAATACAAATAAGTGTGTGCGATGTACTGTGTGAATGGCATATACCAATTGGAATGCATTGCCAACCTGGCTTTCTCAACACTGGGTAGATGTCGGATTTATAACCGTTATCTGTTTTGCCACACTGCGGAGTTTGCAAATTGCGACTGCGCCAAAAAAGTTTTGGTTTTTCAAGCTGCTGCCTGCGCTCGTCTCTCTGCGATTGGCAAAACAACAACGCTCAATCAATAAAAACATAAAATTAGTGCGCAAGAAGCATGCATGCAGCAGCAGGAGCAGCACCAGCAACAACAACAACAATTGGCACAACAGCAATTAGTGTGAAGCACAATTGAGCACCAGGAAACAGAGCTAAAAAAAAAAAAGAAAAAAAGTGTCCTACAGTGTCCTTGTTTTCGCTTACAAACACAAATACACAAGAAAAAGTAACAAAAAAGAAACGTAAGTAAAAAAAGACGTTCAAAATGTACAAAACCATACGGCACGGCGAGAACAGCTTGCAGTACACGATTTTACCGCAAAACGATGATTTCCGAATTGAGGGCAAGCTGAGCAATGCCAGCTGCCAGGCAGCAAACACATCCTCCGTAACGTGCACGTCCTCCTCCAGCACATCTAGTGGCGCCAAGCGCAGCTCGTCGGCGGTTCCGCCACGCAGACGTCGCACATTCTTTGCGTATTTGGGGCTGATCTTTGTCTGCACGGTGATCATTGGGGCCGTGCTTATACCGTTTCTGGTCTCCGCCGAATGTTTGCCCAGTCCCACTGAATGGTTCCTCAAAACGAAGGCAGCGTTCACGCACAGTGGCGACAGGCAGCAGTCACATCTGGCAGCAGCAGCCACTGGAGCCAGGACAGCAACAGCTGCAGCTCCCGCTCCACCGGTGGCGGCCATGTTGGGCCAGAATGTGGGCAAAACTGTGCAGATTGTAAATCGCAATGGCATTGAGCAGTTCATATTAAAGGTCAACAAAACTATGCCAGCCAGCAGCACTACAACAACTACAACTACGACTACAACTACAACATCAACAACTACAACAGCACCAACAACAACTCCAACTCAGAGCATGCAAACAACTGAACCAGTGGCACCCATGATCCCGGCCAGCACTGAGCGCCAAGGCTTCCCAAGGACAACCGTTGCCACCGCTGCCGTCGCCCCACCGCTTAACAATCGTCAGATGGCAGCCACCTTAACCACGCGCATCATACAAGTACCGCTGCTCAAGTCGGCAGCCAAAAAACCCATCATGCCGCCCGTGCTGGCCAAAACGCAGAGCACACAGCTTCAACAACAACAACAACAGCAGCAGCAACAGCATGAACAACAGCAACAACAATCATCGAGCAATACGGATGTGGGTCAGAACAAAAGCAACAACATTTGGATGAATACGCGTTGGGCCTACATAGATCCATCCACCTATGTCCAGTGGTCGGTAAGTATCGCATATCGCTCTAATTGTATGCCACTGCCTGTGTCCTTGTCTAGCCCACACTTTTTATTTTGCAGGGCTACAAGGCTGAGGATAGCGTGCTGTTGCCCGCACTACTCGGATTTGCACTTATCGGCATGATTTTAATTATAACTGTTTGCTTGGTGGCACGCAACAAGCGCACAATTGTGTCCTCTGTGCGCAAGCGAAATCGTAACGTGAGTACAAAATGCATTTAATTGCCATGTGGGGGCCAACTCCTTGCATAACCTTGCGCTAATTACAAACACTCTAAGCTGTATCTGAAATGGGTTTCAAATTTTTTATAAAAACAAATAATTTAAAATATAGCAGAGGATCCCCAAAGTATACACAATGTTTTAAGATCTAATATTATAATATATTTTAATAATATAATGTTTATAGCTGTACGTGCGCATCCATTGAATTCAAATCATTTTTGAATGCCAACCGTTATGTATAAGTTGTGCAATGTGTGCGTATTAACGTTAATGGCAAAAAATTAAAGAGCGTATAAGCTCTGTGAAGTGCTCGGTTACTGCGCATGACGTCAGCATCGTGGAAAAGTTGAGAATAAAATGTGTATTCGTAAACATACAATGTGTACCGTTCGACCTTCTTTTTGTTATGCCCACTATCAGTTTGTAGTGCAGGGTTGCAAGACCATTGATGACGCGTATTGTCTATCGATAAACGTAAAAGACAACAAATTCCACGTCACAGTCGGCTGGCACACGAAGTAAACGAGAATCAAAACGGACATCGTGGCCAAGCATCGTGATACTAACGATTGGGCGCCTCAACATAATATTGTGGCGCTCTGGGCGTGTGGAAGCGAGAGCGCTTAACTATAACCGGCAATACGAAAGCACAGCGTAGTGTGTGTGCAAGCGAGCAGGCAATAAACAACAACGTGAACAAGTGGTAGTGAACCAGCAGCGGCAGCAGCAACAAAAACCAACAACACGACCATACACTATTGCCCGTTGGAGCCGAGAGTCGTTTGCGTGGCAGTTTTTTTTTTTTGGTTATTGTTAGTGTTGTAGCTTTTGTTGCTACCGCTGACAGTGTGTTGTTGTACTGCTGCGGCTAGTGTGTCTGCGCGCTGTTGTTGTTGCTCGGCTCTGTTTGCCAGTAGGCCGCCTTGGCATTCACACAGCGATTTCGGTGAAACGTAGCAATACATCGGCCAGTCAGTCAGTCACTCACTCACAGGTGAGGCAGCAGCTAAACTAAAAGCCACAGGCAGGCAGGCAGGCAGCAGAGGCGGCTGGACCAGAGGCGCACTGGATATAGAAAAAAATCAAATAAAAAATATATCGTTTAACAAGAACAACAAATAAAACAAGTGGAAGCAAAAGAAATATACACAACTGAAAGACGCCTACGTCAGCAAATTGCAACACAAATTCCAATCCTGTAAGCAACAACAACAACAAACTCGCTTGTCTAGTGAAAAGCAAAAAAGAAATTGCTTGCGTGTGGCGCTAGCCGCCTCTCTCTCTTGTGTGTGTGTGTATATATGTGTTTGATTGTAGCGCGCGTATGTGTGTATATGTGTGTGTGCCAACAAGGCAAATTTGTATTGTTTGCTTTAATTGTGTGTGCGCGTGTGCATGCATGTGTGTGCGCTGTGTTGTTGCATGGGCCGATTGGCATTTGCATGCACATGGCCATAATTCCGCTGCCGTTGTCAGCTGCTGCTGCTACGACAGCGACTGCTGACGTTGCAACAGCCACGCGCACATACACACGTACACACACCCGCACGGAGCGTGTGAACGAACGAGAGAGAGAGAGAGAGAGGGAGTCCGTTAATTGCATTCACAATGCACTAATCTCATCAACTTGCAACATTGCAGAGCAACAAGCCAGAAGAAGCAACAACATTAATCATGGCCATCAAACCTGGTCTCGGCCGCAAGACGAGCAACAAGAATCCACCAATACTTAGCCACGAGTTCGTCATACAGAACCATGCGGACATCATCTCCTGTGTGGCGATGGTGTTTGTGGTTGGACTTATGAACGAGTCGACGGCATCGTTTGCCAGCGCCTTCATATCGCTGCACCACAATGTGAGCGGCGAGGAGGCCAGCAGGGAGCAGCCGTATGGCAAGCCGTATACGTATGTGGCCGGCATTAAGGACTACTGTGCGATATTCTTCTACACGCTCACCTGCATCATTATGCACGCCATCATCCAGGAGTTTGTGCTGGACAAGATTAGCAAGAAGCTGCACTTGTCCAAATTTAAGCTGGCCCGCTTCAACGAATCTGGCCAACTGGTTGCGTTCTACCTGCTCTCATTCATTTGGGGCACGCACGTGGCGCTGCGCGAAGGCTACCTGGGCCAGGTAGCACTGCTCTGGGAGGGCTATCCGGCACATGCGATGAGTTTCCTGCACAAATTCTACTTCATCATCCAGCTGTCGTACTATCTGCATATGCTGCCCGAGCTCTACTTCCAGAAGGTGCGCGCCAAGGAGGAGCAACAGCCCAAGATCATACATTCCATTAGCGGCTTCACGCTCATCGTGTTGGCCTACACGCTCAGCTTCCAGCGTTTGGCCCTTGTTCTCCTCACCCTGCACTACTTCAGCGAGCTGCTCGTCCACATTTTCCAGCTGATTGGCGTGTTCGATCGCGAGGAGCGCCTGGCACGCGTGCGCATTGTGAACAACGCGTGCTTTGTCCTGGTGCGTTTCGCCACCTCAGTGATTGGTGTGCTGACACTCTACTACGGCATTTGTGTCTCCGGCGGCAGCTACAATCTGCGTGCGGTTATCGCACTCATCGGTCTGATCGCCGTTCAGGGCTATCTGGTGTTCTCCTTCATAACCGAGCAGCTGCGCGCCAAGCGTGAGGCGAAACGTGAGGCCAAGCTGCTGGCAGCACAGTCCAAGAAGGTGAAGGCGCCCAACAAGGACAAGGTGAAGCGCAAGAAGGAGAGCGATCTGCCCGAGGCGGATCAGGTGTCCTCCAGTCCGGTTAAGCAAAAGCTCAAGTGAAGCAGCTCAGCTGCAGATGCAGCTGCAGCCACAATCAAATGCAACAAAATCTTCCGCACACTTCCAGACGCTCAAGTAACAAACAAACGAAAATACAAACAACAAACAACAAACAGCAAACAAACAACAACTACAACACGAACAGAACAGACTCTATTAGCGAACTCAAGCACTGGCTACACTAAACAACACAACACAACACAACAAAACATATGAAACATTTTTCTACTGTCGCATTTACAATATTCTCTCAGAGCGTAAGCTATTTGTAAACCTAAATGTTTTGTTTCATTATAAGTTTTTTTTTATTATTATTATTACATATATTACAAAATAATTTTTATTTCAAATAAACAAATTTTTTTATTTTTATACAAGAATGCAAAAAAAAAGCAAAAGAAATTTGAATCAAAATTTTATGAACCAAAATGTTTTTTTTCGTCTCTCTAAACGTATTTCTGTATGTGTGTTGTATGTTGTATGTGTGAGTGTGTGCGTGTATGTGTGGGTGAAATACTAAAGCAATGTAACATATATGTATATATGTGGCATTGTTTGTTGAGATATACGTATATACATATGTGTATAGATCGAGTACTTTTAATGTTTAACATTTTGATCGTGTGGTATTTTATACGTCCTATCGAATGTAACAAAAAACAAACAAATATATTTTGTCTAAGAAAAACAAAGTGTAAATCGTTTTTAAAGCAGGGCTAGTTAACTAATGGGGTTTGGATAATACAAACATATATATATGTGAGGCCTTAAATCATCTGAAACTCAATCAAATCTTACTCCCCTCTCTTATCTCTTATGCAGGACATTGAGGAGCAAGGCGCCGAGGATAATGCCACGCTGCTCACAACAACAAATCTGTCCGACGATGATTAATTTAAATGTATATAAAAAATGCAACAACAACAAAAAGAACAAAAAACATAAACTTTAGTCGTGCGTGTGCCCCACTTTTTTCGCTTTTTGATGTTTTATTAAATTTGATTATTTTTTCCTCTGTTTTTCAGATATGTATTTACATATTTTTATGATATATATACAAAAACATATACAGGCATATATAGATAAACAAAATTTTGATCAAATACAAAAAGAAAAGCTTGATAGACAACTCAAATCATGAATGATATATAAAAGCGTATTTTAATCAAATATAAATTTGACAAACAATCAAATATGTGCACAAAACGTTTGCTTTATATCGCATATATAGTATAAATATATATTTATATACATATGAATCCTTATTTATATATATATAAATACATTAATTCCAAATTTTTAAACATATTCAAATGTATTTTCAATGCGTGCACATATTTGCTTATTTGTATTTGATATATATATATATATATATGTAATCAAGATCATATATAAATATAGACATCTATATATATATGTTAAGAACCTAACTTTTTCCAAAAAAAAAGTAAAAAAAAAATTAAATACTGTCCAAGCTAAGCTATGCAAAAAAACAAAAAAAAAACCGAAAAAAAACGAAAAAAAGCAAACGCATAATGAAATGAAAAGTTGACAAAAACTAAAAAAACTCAAAGACACTCAAGCAATTTTCATTGTTATGTTTCCAAAGTAAACAAAAAAGAAAGAAAATTAAAAAAAAAAAAAAACAGAAAAAAAACCTAGAAGACTGTTTCTTGAAAACATATTAAGGATTCTTTAACTAAGCTGTTACCAAACACCTTCGTTTTCTTCTGTTCAGCACTGGATTCCTTCTTCCATTGTGAGCATTTCTTGGGTGTGCGCGTGTGTGTGTGTAAACACGCATACACTTAGAAGCATATACATTTGAATACATAGATTAAATATATATATATGTATTTATGATTTTTAGCACAAATATTAACAAGATTTTGAAGCTTAAACTGCATTTAACAGGGCAAGTGATCAGAAAACTAGGAGCAGGCTTGAGGATGGGCGACGTTATGCAACGCACCCTGCACGCACTTATGTAATCATTTAAGTCCAGTCTAGAGGAAGAGGAAGAGGAAGAGAAAGAGAAAGTCCAGTCTCTTGAGCACAAACAGAAAATGCAGAAGCTAAAATGAAGTATTAAGTTTCTTCTCGGATCGGATCGGAGCGGAGCGAAGTGGAAATTGCATAGAGTTAGATATTGACGAGCTCATATACATATACATATGCATATATCTATATATCTGTATATACATATATGTGTGTGTGTAGATGGTAGTTCGATTGATTAGAATATAATGAAACAAAATGGAGAAATACAAATGAAAAGTAATACTATGTACACTGTATACACTATATATGTTTATGAATATGTATGTATGTAACTGTATAACATGTATGTATGTCGATCTATATAACTGTGTAAATCATTGAGAGTTGTAATTGTAATTTGAGATGATCTGTATTTTTGTAAGTATAATATATATTTAACTAAAACTGCGAGCTGGGCGTGGTAGGGCGCACATACAATTGATTTGCTCATTATACTATATACCATATACGTATATATATAAATATATATATGTAGTATATAGTATATGCTATAATATAAGCAAACTATAAACATAATGGCTTGCATTTACATATACACCAGCACGCATATAAGTATATGTATATACCTATATATATACACATATGTATTATTGAATAAATCAAATCAAAGATTCCAAACATGGATAGTATATATATCCAACATATATCAGTGTAATTGTTACAAATTATTTGCAAATGCTAAACAGTTAAGTCCATATACCAGAGAACATACTACACACAGACACACACACACCAACACACACATATATACATATATATAAATAAACATATACAAAAAAAAAAGAAGAAACAAACACTATATTGAATGTTTTTGCTTGTTAAAGTGAATAATAATAAAGAGCAAACTAACTGCATATAATATATGAAAGATTTCATTAATCTATAATTTGGTAACTATGTACATTTATTTGTAGAACTGTAAACCTTCTATACTTTGCTTCGGCTTAGATCTAGGTGTTAATAATGAACATAGTTTATCACTTTCAAGATTTCTGCTCCTGCTGCTCGCGCTGCTGTTTGTCGCGTTTATTTTGCTGTGCCGTCAAATGATTCTGGACGAAGCTTTGGAAGTTTTGTTCTTCTGTTTTGTTCTTGGCATCGGTTTCCAGCTCCTCATCGGCGTCCATTTGCACCGGCACCAGGCTCGGTGCCATAAGATATACACTATTATCTGAATTGGTCTTTGGATCCTGCAAGTGTATAAAAAGCGAATCAGCTAAAGTTCTTAATAATTTGAATAGTTGCTATAACTAACACTCAGATCGAGGCCCATGGGAACAGCTGTGCCCGCCTCATCGATGCTAGCGGCTGGCAGTGGAATTGACTGCTGTTCGGCAAGGCGCTGCAGCCGCATCTTCTCATAGACCGGCTTGTAGTCGCGCTCGTATTCGGTTACACAGTCGAGTATATGCTTGATGAGGTCTGCAAAGCCGGTGCCCGTCTTGGCAGAGACACCGCATGTGATAAGGTTCTCGTAAAATGTGTCAAGTGTGAGCGACATGGTGCGCGTCAGATTGTTGACATAGCTGTGCTCCTCTTCCAGCGCATCCTGGAACACCTCAAAGTCGGTCATCCACTCCTGCACAAAGCTACAATCCTTCAGGTCAATCTGCGCACAAATAATAGAAATACTTTAAGGCATCTCTTTAAGCATGGTTGTTGAAGCTCACCTTGTTGAGCGCAATCAGAAAGGGCAGTCGCGTTTTGTAGAGTATGGAACAGGCATACAACATGTTAGACATGAATGTCGTGGGGCAACTGGAACGCACAACATCCATAACATAGACAACGATCGTGGGAAACATGGTGGCGAGCCCTTCAGTGATGATGCTTCCTGATGCCGACCAGGTGAACACCTCGATTTGGCCAGGCGTATCGATGATGCACCATTTGTGGCCACGCTCACCGGCGCGTCGAACCAGCTCCGCAAATTTCGGCATCTTGGTGGTGAACATGTTGAGCGCAGTCACGATTCCGCCATTGGGGCCTAACTGATACTGTTTCATTACCTCTCTGTAGTTGACAGTGTCGCGTATGTCTATATGCGCTGCATAGGGAACCTCACGACAGGCGGGATCTAAGTTTACGACATACGGATTAAACTGCTTCTGAGCGTGCTCGATTAAACTCCGCGTAAAAGTCGTTTTGCCCGATCCGGCCATGCCAAGCACAATGATGCAGACAGGCGAATCGCGAATGCCTTCGGTGAGGTTCAGCGCCTCCAGGTTGATGTCATTGATGCTGATGTTAGCATTGCTGCTATTGGTGCCGCTGCCGGACGGTTTGCTGGTCATTGTTGATGCAGAGTGCCGCAAAACAAAGCTGCACGTTTAAGAATTGGACAATCACAGTACGGCGTATTTGTGTACAAAACGGCAACGCTAGTGTTAACTATTTCCAACGATATGGTAGCTTGATGAGGGAAATTGATAATAGGTGGTGGTACAGTGCACGCTCATGCACATGCGCACAACATAATTTAACGTTATTTTAAATATATGGTATTTCAAATTAGAGTATTGACAATAGATGGCGGTGCACACTACTTTCTGTTTTTAATAGAAGTTACTTCAATTAAGAGAATGTTAATATGAATATTCTATTATTATATTTTAATTTAATTTAGAGATTTTTTTTGATATTCACACGTTGGCGCAGTAGTATTTAAAATTTGAGTATTGACAATAGATGGCGGTACCCATTAAATTCTGTTTTTAATAGAAAGCGTTACATCAATTAAGAGAATGTTAACAAGAATATAAATATTCTATTGTTATAATATTTTAATTTAATTTAGAGATTTATTATTTTTGACATTCACACGTTAGCGCAGTCTTATTTCAACTAGGTGGCAGCCTTAATTTGTCGTTTGGCGCGGGTATGGAAATACGTCTGGAAATTAAGCTGCAGCAGCCGAATCCACTGTTCACGCGATGGCTGGAACGTTGGCTTCATGAAGCCGAGCAACGTAATCGGAAATCGCAGCACACTCTGCGACAGGCGCTGCAGGCCCTGCGCAGCTATCCGCTGCCGCTGTATAGTGGCCGCGAATGCGCCGTGCTGCGCGGATTTGGTGCAACGCTATGTCAGCTGATCGACGATGAACTGCGTCAGCATAGGCTGCTGGCAAGCCAAGCCAAACTGAAAATGACCCCCACACCTGCGTCCAACAGCACGCAGTATCAGGAACAGGTGCAACAGGTTGTCAAAGTAGTGCAACGGAAGCAAAAACAACAGCAGCTGCAGAAGCCCAAGAAGTTGACCAAGAAAGTACAACAGGAACTGGCAGCAGCCGAGGAACGGGAACGTGCCGTCCACATGACTGCGGGCAGCTATCGCATAGTGCTGCTTGTGGATACGCAGGAGACGAGTGGCAAGAATAAGCGTATATTAGATCAGACACGCAGCTATCTGCAAACACTGAACGTGGAACACGAGGTGCGTCGCCTAACAGTTGGTGACTTTCTGTGGATAGCGCGTGATGCCGCCGGCAATGAGCTTGTGCTGCCCTACATCGTGGAGCGCAAGCGTATGGACGACTTAGCAAGCAGCATTCGTGATGGTCGCTTTCACGAGCAGAAGCATCGCTTGCACCAGTGCGGATTATCGCACATCATCTACCTGATCGAGGATTATGGCGACAATGAGCAGCTTGGCCTACCGCTAGAGTCGTTGCAGCAGGCGCTCATCAATGCTCGCGTCCAGTCCGCTGGTATCCAAGTGGTGCGCTGCGACAACCACTACCGCTCCATGTGTTATCTCAGCGGCGTTGGCAGTGCTTTGCAGCAGCTCTATGTGGGCGCATCCAGGTCGCTGCACAGCGTGGACAAGACACACCTGTCCACGACGCATACAGACATTTGTCAAGTGGGCCTGCTGAAGTTTCGTTCGCTGTACGAGGATTCGGCGCGCAATGCACAGCTGACGGTGCGCGAGGTTTTTGTGCAGCAGCTGCTGCAGTTACATTCTCTCTCCATTGACCGTGCCTTGGCCATTGTAGAGCGATATGCGACGCCGCGTCTGCTGCTGGATGCCTATGCGGAGTGCCAAAGCGAGGCCGAAGCACGTCAACTGCTGGCAGGACTCAGCTGCGGTCCGCTGCAGCGACCACTGGGCGACAAACTGAGCCAATGTATACATCAGTTTTACACAAACGAATTCTAAGCATTAGGTTTAGTAATTGTATTTAGTAGGTATTTAGTTAATTGGACATATCTAAAGTTATATACACATATTTATACATTTAGAATTATGACTTGGACTAGTTATAAAGGGAGAACAAAAATTAGATGTCATTCGATTCATCGATCGATTCAGTTTAGATATTGCGGAAGTGCCGTATGGCCAGATCCACTGGCAAATCGAAGTCAAATTTGGACAGTGCATCAATTGAGCGCAACGAGTCGCGGAAGCCCGTGCATGCCACATAGCTATTGGACGTGTAGTAAGTATCAATTAGCTCGTTGCAGCTGAGTATCAGATTGAGCCACTCCACCAAAAGATGTGCGCTGCAAGCAGAAGATAAAAGATTATTAAGTGAGCTCCGTATTATGATGGAAGTCCTTTATTTGGGACCTCAAATATGTAACTCACTTGAGTCCAGCACAGATCAGAGCCTTGAAGTGGGCATTGTAGCTGCGCTTATAGGGTCGATGCATTGCCAGGATCATGCCAATGGCGCTCAACAGACTTTGCTTGGCTGTTACCGCATGCGCGTCCACAATATCTAATTGGAAACTCTGCGACAGCTTCCTGGCCGGTGTATTGTTGTACTCCTCACCATTCTTTAGATTGTAGTACTCGAGTATCAGCTCCCAAGCGTGCATAGCGCGACCAATGCCAAGGAACTGCATCTCTGCTGCCGCACCCGCCGCCACACGCTGTGCACCCGGCTGCAGGCAACGCATGAAGGGCACCATTAGGCTGGACGCCGCCGATTCGGCTGGTATGCGCAGCCCATGTTGGATGAGCTGCTGCAATGTGCGCGCAAAGTTCTTGCGCACCACATTGGTTAGCTCGCGCCCAATGGTGGCTATAGAATCGCCACGCATATGCACAATACGTCGTCCCAAGGACTTGTCCGTGTTCCAATCATAACGCTCGTACATGTCCTCATCCGAATCGGATGAGGCTGCGGCTGCGCTTGCGGCATAAGGCGTCAGCTCGTGGCCGGCGGTGTTGACAGCTGCACGCCTGCAACGTGGCGGTAAAGTGGTTAATGCTCCATTATGTGCATCAACTGAGACGCTTGGTTTATTGGCATTGGGTGCCTGCTGTTCCCGTTGCTGGCGCAGAGCACGCTTGATGTTGGCCAACTTCTCGCGATCGCAGCTTAATGTGGCTGCCAATGCTGCCACCTCCTGGATGTCCACCTCCAGCTGCGCGCGCAGATCCCTTTGGAAATTAATATATATTTAAGCTTATGGGTGTCGTTAAATATCGGCAATAAATTACAAATTAAACTACTCGATCTACTTGTCGCTGAGAGACTGCCACTCTTTTCAAAATAGGTGCAATTCTAACGGATCATTACTCAAAATGTACAAATTTATCGAAGCGCTTTACTTATCGATTGAGCATTAGCGTTGCCACAGTGCCCACGAAAACTTAACGGGTATTCCAATTCTCTCATAGCAATTATAATTTTTATTATTTTTTACTCACCCCCAATGGTTGCCCTTGTGCGTCTTCTTTAGAGAGTTTTGCTGAAAGTCCGCTTGGCGCTTGGCGAAATGTGTGGTGGCAAACATCTGCATCAGCAGCGATGCCTTGTCCAGCAGTCCATGCGCCTTGCTGTGCAGGCTTTCGCGTCGTGGTGCATACTCCGAGGCGTTGGATGATGATGATGATGCTGCTTCTGCTGCCGCAGCCATATTACTGCTGCTGCTATTGGTTGTTGTTGTTGACGCTGCGGTTGGCACCACGGGCAGCTGTCCGGGCGTCTGCCTTGCTGTCTGCTTGGCCGCGTAGCTATTGTAGGCACCACTAAGCAGCTTTATCTTGTCGCTGGCGCTAGTGGTGCTGCTGCCGCCTGCGGTGTCGCACTGCAGAAAGGCTATAAAACGCTCCAGATCGGTGATTTGTGTTTTAAGCTGTGCTACCAGCTGCTCCTTCATTTTGAGCGGACCCACAAATTCACCAATGGCATTGTCCACCTGGTGGCGCAGCTGCTCGGTGCTGAGAGCAGGCAGTTGATGTTGCTCGACTTGCAGATTGAGTTTGGTGCGCAGCTCGTCCAGAATGAATTTTTGCTTCTCGAGCAGCACATGCTGCGGCAACACACCGGGTGCACCTGAATCATAGGCCAACTGCTCGAGCTCCGTTAGCTGAGACTTCAGCTGCTCGATTAGCTGGCCATCCGGCGGTGTCGCCGCCTGCGTTTCATCATTGTCGTTGTCATTGTTGTCGGGTTGTGCGACCTCCGGTATGCCCTGAAAGGCGAAATCCTCCAGATCACGCAGTAGCTGATCCCGCTCATCTGTGGGCGCCTCTACAATCTGTCGCACGCGCAGCTGGACATGCGCAAACTGCGAGGTCAATGCCAAAAGTGAGCTGGTCAACACCTCCTGCTCCTCCTCAATGCTGCGCAAACGTGCCAATTCGCTGGCGCTCTCCTCGTCCGCTGCCACTGCTGGCGGCTGCTTCTCCAGCTCCTGGTTGAGCATAGTTGGCTTCAGTTCACAGTCGCCGCTTGTTATCAGCTCGGAGCTGGCGCTGTTGGCATCATCGTAATTTGCGCCCAATGGCGACCAGCGTTCGCTCAATGGCTGCGCCTCGTCTTCGGCAAATGTATCTGCGTCCTGATCTGTTTCTGGATATGCTGGGCTCTCAATGCCTTCCACGTCTTCATTGACAGTTGTTGTGCCTGCTTGGGTCGTTGTTTTTGTCAACTGCTGCAGACTGTCACAGCTGGTCGGGCTACTGCTGCTACTGCTACTGCTGGCTGGCTGCTGACCTTCGGCCAGCGTGGCATTCATGTCCATATGTGTGGCTGGGCCAGTGCAGTTGTCACTTTCACCTATGCCACACTTTCCCTTTGGTCGAGTTGCTGATGCGAAAAATCAATCACTCGACTGTTCTGCTAACAGCTGGCCAATCCGCTCGCATTTGTGTCTACGTGTGTGCGGGTGGTTGAGCCTCGACAGTTGGCAAAGCCAGAAGTCAGATAGGCAGACGGGCCGACGGGCGGACAGGCAGGTTTATTTTCTATTGCAGTCACGAAGCAAACGCTGTGACTGCTTTTCACGCACTGACAGTTGAGTCCATTTGCATTTTCCATCCAGAGCTTTTATCAATGGGGTTGCGTTAAGCTTAAAGCTTGATGTGTTTTAGGGGTTGAAATGGAAACGAAAGCTTTGTCAACTAAAAAACTTTAAGCATGTAGCATCCACTTTCTTATGATGCTTGAAAGCTGTCTAGTTGGATATTTACTAAGCGCATAACTAACTGAATCTTAAGAAAGCTTAAAGTTCAAATTTAACTTGGGTGAACTTGCAAATTTGTCTGAATTTTTAATAAAGTTGTTATTTCTTTATTTTGTATTGTTCACAAAATTGCAGATTTTCAGTATCATAAAAAGGACGGAAAGCTTAAAAAACAAGTTAAAATAAATAGAAAAGCAATAAAAAAGTAAAAAAAAATGATGTGCTTAGGGACTTTTCTCTCGAGGAGGAGCATTGCCATGCAATTCATACAACAAAAAACTAATGAAATTCCAATTGCTTTATACAATATTATTTATTGAATTGCCTTTCGTGTTGCTTTTGTTAGAAAGTTTCCATTTTCAATTTCAAACTATGCCTGGTTCGTTTCAAGACGAAAGCTTTGCATGGACTCGTAAATGGTTTTAGTCAACCGCAGCTTTTCGTGTCAAAAATTTCCCAAAGTTGTCCCAAAGTCAAATGCCCGAAGTTGCTTAGAAATTTCGTAAGGGGAACAATGACCGATTTGACCCTTTTTCCCCTTCAGCAAACAATTCCCAATATAACTGAGTGCCTGATAGTGCGGAGCCAAGATTAACAGATAAGAATTGAATATAAATTCTTCTGCTTGCTCGTCTACATATCAGCTGTATGGGTATGGGCATGGGCATGGGTCTGGGGGTATTACATATCATACTTGGTCCGGTATCAGAAATGTTTTGCTTCTGCTCGCGATAAGCTGACTAGCTTGTCGAGTCGAGTGTGAATGACAACCTGATTGGCGGTCATTTTGGGGTCGTTGGGGCTGGGGACACGCAGAGAACTCAAACATTGAGTGAAACCAAATTCATTTTGCATGTATTTCACTTAAATAGAACAAAAAAACATATATGTATACATATTTAGCTGGGAATACTTTGTCATTTAGCGTGGCGTAAAATTATTTTTGCCTCCATCGACTGGCAGCAGGGCGCCGGTGGTGAAGCTGGCCTTGGAGCTAGCCAGGAACGCGGCGGCCTCGGCCACCTCGAAAACATCGCCGACACGGCCCATGGGATGGGAGTTGACGGCGCGTTCGTGCAACGATTTGTATGCCTCGTCCACAATGCCAATGCGACTGTGTATGTTGGTGACCACAAAGCCCGGATTCACAGAGTTCACGCGGACACCCTGCGGCGCCAGCTCCAGCGAGACGATTTTCGTAAATTGATCCAGTGCCGCCTTCGATATGCCGTAGGAGAGTGCGCCAGGGAAGTGACAGATGCCGGCACAGCTGCTAATGTTGACCACAGCGCCTTTGGTCTTTAGCAGATGCGGCACAGCTGCCTTGGTCAAAACCACAATGGCTCGCAGATTTGTATTGAGCACCGCATCGAATTCGTCAATGTCCAGATCGATGAGCGGGCCGTTACCCAAAATGCCGGCATTATTCACTAGCACATCGATGCGTCCGAACTTGTTCAGCGTCTGCTGTATTATCACATTCGCATCCTTGGTCACATCGGCCACCACATTGAGGGTCTGCACGCCTTTATATAGCTGCTGGAGTGTCGCCTGCGTTGCCTCCAAATTTTTCAGGTTGCGTCCGACCAGCGACAAATGCGCTCCCTCGCGGGCCATTACCTGGGCGATGGCAGCGCCGATGCCGCTGCTTGCCCCCGTCACAATCACCACCTTCTCGCTGAGGCTCATCTTGTTCGACTGTGTACGCCGAGCGCTGTCCGACATGCATTTATGCCCGCTCCCGCTTGTCTCGCCTGCTGATAAGATTAAACAGACGGCGAATGTGACGTAAATTGCGCTTGTGTGTTACCTGTTGAGGCGATGCATTCACATTGCCATTCACTCACAGATTCCAATGCTAGATTCCACAGCTAGAGAGCAGCCATAGTGGGCGGGGTGGTGCTAAGACCCTTCTGACCATGGCCCCATTTAGCAAGTCAAGCGACAAGTTTTTTAATTAAAACTTTTTGCGGCTTCTCCGATTTCAAAGATTTGTAAAATCATGTTCCCAGCTGTCGCCACTGCCAGCGCCCCTTGCACAAGCCCAACCCGTTCCCATTCAGCCTAAGCTGCACATAGAGCCTCGACGAGAGACCGGCCTCCTAAATGCCTGCTGTTTGCTGTCTACTGTCTGCTGCCTGCTCACATTAACTTTAAGCGTTTCCGTTGTCAGATAATTAACATTTCCATTTAGCTAGCGGTGCTGGCTGCCTACCATCGGCTCATATATCACCCAGAGCCGCCAAGAGCGCACTCAAGCTATGTGCGCTAACGAAAGAAAAATATATAAAGAGAGCGCGAGAGAATGAGCGAGTGCGAGAGAGAGAGAAAGCGAGCGAACTTATTGCGATAAGAACTGTACTGCAAATTATCACAGCACTTATTATGATAGTTGCTGAATGTGAGGCAGCAGAGTGAAGCTGCTGTTGGCCTTACTCAAAATATTCCATTCGCTAACTACTTAACTGCCTGGCCAAGCTATTACAAATGGCAACAGTTTTTCTACTCGTCTCCTTTGCAGCATTTCATAAATTTTAATGAAGTCATGCAGTCGTCCGAGTAGCCCAGACACCTAGTCACTCCGACATTGAATGCGGGCTCAAAGTGCATGAGTTTCTGTAGTCTTTTGTGGCATAATCTGAAGGTTGCTGCTGTAGCTAGTATTTGAGCACTAATTATGTTGTTTGTTTATTTCATTGTGTCGAATAGCCATCCAGTAACAGCAGCAGCCAATTTGCAATACGCACTCGAAGTTCATTATATAATGGCTGTTTGATTGATCAATATAAATCTCCAATTACATGCGTTAAAGGTTTTACAGTCATTATAGATAAATCATCCCAGGAGTGCCTCAATATATTTTTTGAAAATGCAAGTAAGCGCGCGCAGTTCGGGAGTGTCCAACTGCGAGATACCCTAAGCCCGATCAAATAGCTAATATATTTTTAATTGCTTGAACCAACTTGTTCCACACGTGGTATAGGCTTCATGTAACTACTACAGATTTCTAGATCGATGCCTGTCTACACACACAGGCTAAGTTAGACCAGCGCAGCGGTTCAATTTGCTCCAGACTTTACTTAATGGGTTCGACCATATACCCAAGGATGCCCATTTTCAATGGCAATGCAAAACGCTTCTCCTACCAGGCCAATAGAAACTGCTTACTCATAATCATTCAAAAATGTTTTCCCCTTTCTCCAACAGAAAAACACATTTCAATTCGATTTGCTGAATAATTTGTTATGCCTCTTATTGTAGAAGCCGTACTCATCCATCATGGCAGTTGAGCTGCATCAGTGTCTATCCAAGTTGCAAGTGCGAAGGCAAACCGAAAATATAAATTGAATCATGAACTTGACGTTTTTCTTTATACTTGTTTTATTTATTATTATTTATGTTTTTGCAATTTCTTGGTTCTTGCCGCCTGTGAGGACTAATATATGCGCAGCAGGACAGGAATTAATAAGTGAGTGCAATTAAGGAGTGTCAAGAACAAAGTTTCCAGAAGCAGTTGCAGCTCTCATTTTGTAACAAATTAAATTTTAATAACAGCAAAACAAACGAAAGAGTAACAAAAAAAAAAAAAAAAAAAAACAAAAAAAAACTTAAGTCTATCTAAAGCTAGCGGCTATATATAAAGCAATCTGTGAAAAGTTGATTGGGGGTAAATGGATTCATGAATATGGAAATTGAGCTACTTCAGTGCAGCTTTGTTTTTTACGGGTAGAAATGAGGCCAACAGGCAGCCAGCTGAAAGGTGCAAATGAAGGGAAATAGAAATAATAAATAATAAATAAAAGGGATAAAAGGGTAAAGCCCTAAGTAGGAACTTACTGAACATAAAGCAGCTAACCATGAGGAACGGGGGCAGGCAGCCGGTGGTCATGAGTGCCGGAAAGAAGATATTGCCCACCAAAGAGCCCATGCGGCCGACCATCATGCTCAGCGAGACGATCATCGTGCTGTCAAGGGCAATTCAATTTCAGGTGAGGTTAGTCGTTAGAGTAGGCAACTTGAATGGGATAGTTAAGTGTGACGACCTACCGGAGCGCGGTGGGGAACATGCTGAGCGAGGCGCTGATGAGTGATGTGCCCGATATACTGCCCACGGAAACAAATACGGAGGCCAGCGCCACGGTCGTCGTAGATGAGCTCGACCAGTACATACCCAGGGCACAGGAGCCGGCGGCAAACAGACACATACCTATCAATCAAATCAAACGAGCACAATTCACAGGCTAGCTCTGGCAAGAGTTTTTGATTAATACTAACACATAATCCGCTTGACGCCCACCAGATTGACCAGGACACCGGCCAGCGCATAGGAGACCAGGCCGGCGGAGGCCACAATCAAGTTGTTGGTGTAGCTGGCGGCGCTCACATTCACCGTGCACTCGGCCATGGGATCGCCCAAGGCAGCCGCTTCCAGTTGTCTTTGCGTGCGATTCACGCTGTAGTCGACTATGTTGCAGATGCTAGTGCTTTCGCTATGCGCCTGGCTGCTGGCCAGTTGCTCGTACTCCTTGATGGAAGCGAACAGCTGCGGCAGCCAAAGACGCATCGTGTTCTGCCTGCCAATTTCGTATGGGCTTAGTTGGCTATGCATCGCTCTTCATATGCAAAGTGACTTACCCCAAAAGAACGCAAAAGTTGAGCAGGTATACCAAAAGCGATAGTCCCAAGTAGGGTTTGACGAAGAGCGGTCGCAGCTGGAGCAGACCCAAGTGCAGAGAACTTTTTGGCTTGCTGGCCAGCTCGACATCCGCATCCTTGGGCTGTGCCTTGTCCACAGCCGTCTTGCCATTGGCAGTGTCAACAGTCTGCTCCAGCTGTTGTGCATCGGATTTTGGAGACTGCTCATTGGCAAGTTCTTTGATCTGAGAGTTTGAAAAGAAACCGCCTAAGCTATGCAAATTAGTTTCCAATTTTCATTAATTTCACTCACTGGATATGCCGAGCGTGGCTGACGTTTGTTCAAGGCATAGATGAACCTGAACGCCTCCAGCGCCTCCTTGTTGCGTCCGCGCGACATTAGAAACTTTGGGCTCTCCGGAAAGAAGGGAAAGAAAGCACAGCTCAAGATGCTGGGCACAGCGCTGATGGCTACAAAAACCTGCCAGGCATGCACTGCAAGCGAACACCAAAGAAAAGTTAGTCATAATTGTTTAACTCTATAAGTAAATATGTATATAATCAAGAGGAATTTAATACACGGAGTCAACAAGTTGTATCCTTGAAACGACTTTGCTAAATTTCGCTCGGTCGGCGTTAAGTTCTTAATTATTTAACACGAAAATTGTCACCTAGTCAAACTTATTAACTGCCGAACAAATGACTCTTAATTATATTTTAAGTTGTCAATAAGATGTAAATAGTTATTCAAGTTAATTGAGCTGTGGAGCATGACGACAGATTTAGCAATATGGTAAAATGGTTTACATATTTTGATAATTGCATGAGTGAGTTGATGACTTAGTTAAGCATATCAATTTGTTGCGATGCTCAGTTAAATGTTGCAGTTGCAAATTTAAATATCCTTTCCTTTGTTTCTGCTTTGGCTAGACTAAATTAAGATTACAAATTGTTTTTATGGAATCTCAAATATCTTGAATGCACAGCTGTAAATCCACATAGCTGCTTTATGGGACGTGTAAGCCGATAGACCATAAATCTACATAGCTACTTAATTGCCCGTGTAAACCGATAAATATATAATGCAATTCAAACAAGTCGTAATCAGTGCACGTAACTATTATCAGCAACTACTATAGCTGAGAGTAGAAGGTGAGACGCGAAGGTCACTTACATGAGAGTCCCAAAATTTGTATGTCCCAGGGTTGGGGCAATATGCCCATGGCCAGGCCGGGCAAGCTGAGCGTGCCCACGCTGAACATAATGCCAACCATCATCATGATACGCTGTCGATACTGGCGTCCATGCAGCTCCGTTAAATATGTCATCAGGACGGCAAACGGTCCGCTCATACTAGGTGTTTGGGATGTACATCAAAGTACATCGTACATCGAACATATATGGGCGTATTTAGTTAGTTGGAACTTACGTGAAGCCGCCCAAATACTTAAAGATCATGAGCTGCACTACGTTCTGGCTAAGAGCGCCGCCCAGCACACAAACCGTATCTGCCAAATATCCGTAGACCAGCAGCTTCTTCCGTCCCTTCGTATCGGCCACATAGCCCCACAGAATGGCGGACGATATCATGCCCGCATAGGTGATCGCATTTAGTACACCCTTATCTATTAGGGTCAAATGTAGGTCACACTCAGCGCTTGGCAGTATATACGACATGGTAGACGTTTCATAGACTGTGCCCATTGCCGCGGCCACAGCCACCAGGAGGAGCAAAATGTTAAACATGCCAAAGCCAGCCGCATCGATAGCTGTCTCAAAGTCCGCTGGCTGTGCAGGTGGCTTGCTTGGAGGTGTGTCGTCATCCTGCAGTTCCTCAAGCCTGATCATCTTGTCTGCTCTTGTTGTTGCCACTCCCATTGACAAGCTTTAGCTGGAAGCACTTGCTCCGTGTGTTCTTGCGGCCTATTGTTGACTGAAATGTAGTTACGCCGTATCTTGTATCTTAAATCAGCTCTTGAGATTGCAAAAAGTAAAATAAAATAAAAAACAGAAAAGGAAAAAGAAAATGAAAAGAGGTAATCTGACAACGTTTACATACCGCCTACCTTTGCTTATCCATCAAATCCCCAATCCCCTCACGATTCGCCAATCATATAAGCCTAATATAAACACAGTTCGGATCACTCCGGCAGCGACTGTTCACACGTATGGCCCTCGTATCTGGGCACAATGATCACGACACTGTCATAAGTGGGATGACGACATGGTTGCTGTTAAGTCATATACGTTATAAATACTAAATACTTGAAAATTTATAAGAGTTAATATTATTAAGAGCAGCAGTTGGGAGCGGGAGTGTTGTGCTCATTGCTATTGCTCTCCCGCTGATCGTTCTCCTAAGCCCGCCCTCCGAGTGCGAAGTGAACGAAGTCTTGCTCAGTTGGGTGAAGCCCAGAGCAGTTGAATTGTGTTCTGTACCCAGTTGGACTGGACCAGAATCTTTTCAGAGAACAGCAGATTTGACGCCATTTTAATTGCGGGGGAGCGTCCATAACTGTCGACGACGCGACTTCGCACCTGGCAACAGGCAACAGCAGCAAAAGCTCTGCGCAAATAATCGCTCAGCGAACTAATTTGCTGCGATTACATGGCACAGGTTCCCAGATTCCCAGCGCACTAAAACCATTTGGGATTACTCATGGACATGGCATTACTGAATGGACCAGCATTCGTGCATCGTGTGCTCTTGTTTAATCAGCACTGCACAGTGGTGCGAATTGTGCTATTAGTAGTCGTCATTCCCTGGAGACTCGAGCGATAAGTTATGCAAGCTGATGTCAAAGTGTCGCAAGCAGCCAAAGAACTTGCAACATTTTTGTCAAATGATTTCTCCTGCCAGCTGTCAGCTCTCAGAAGCGAATGCGAAAGTAAAAACACACACACACACACACACACAAGAATTGGTTCGAAAGGTGTCTAAAGCAAGAAGCCATATGAGAAGTTAACGGAAGAAAAAAACAAACATAAATTGATATTCGCAAAAACTTTGTTTGAAATATGTCCGGAACGCAAAATGATGAAAGCTGAATGAAAGAGGCAAACACAAAAAAAAAAAAAAAAAACAAAAAAAAATTGGAGACATTTTCTCAAAAGCTTTCTTATGCAACTGCTTGACACGTGTCCAAAGTGAGAACCGTTGAGGCAAGCAAAGCAAGCGCTCCAAATGTTTTCCATGTAGATAAGTGAAGCGAGTAACTTGCAGAAAGCTAACAGAAAAATAATACAAATGGAATGCTATGCCTGCTCTCTGAGTTGATTATGTTGCTGTAGGTGTCTAGGAATTTGATTCGATTGCGACAGCTCCTGCCTGCAGTGCCACTGCCAGTGTGCTGAAAAACAGTCCTGAATAATTGAATGGCAAGCCGGGGCGAGATGTCGCATTATCTTATACTAGTTAAGGCCTTCGCAGCCTGCGCACTGATAGCCGATGGGATCAAAAGGGAGCAGATAAACAACAGACCCTCAGTCTCCCTGTGCCACTGGATTTGGGCTATCTAGTCAGCTAGTAATTGTAATAATTTCAAGCGCTTTTATTTCTAGGCTCCCCAAAGTGGCTGGGATTAGCGATGGAGCTGCATAAGCCGCTTGGTGCGACATCCGTGCCGCAAATGCTGCACAGTGGCACTAAGAGCCATTACATTTTATTTTGCTGTATTTATTTAATAAGGCTAACAGCTGAAACAGTTAATACATTAGCGAATATAAATACAGATACATATATTTTTGTATATATCTAAATTCCATACACTTAGCAAAAATGTAGCTTAATGTCTCAGCTGGAATTTCATTTATTTCATTGACAAGCCAACAATTAAATCAATATTCTAAAAAAGTAAATCCATGGTATATGCCCCACTGCCAAATACCCTAACTAACAATGTGTACTAAGCCAGGTCTCTCTGCTTGATTATTAAAGATAAGTCAGAGTCTTCAGCATCTATATTGAGGTCAAATAAGCATAAAACTATCAAAAATATATATTCTTCTCTCTCTTTTCTCTATATAACTGATGGCTAGTGAAGAGTTTTTTGATTTTCGATTTTACTGACAATCTGCGCTACATAAAGAGTCAAGTTGACATGGATATGTCTGTTAGGGGCGTGGCAGAGCGGAGCTTTGGTTAAGTCTCGCTCTTAATCTCTTTCTTAATAGGCTTAAAGTTTTATTGCTCTATGATAATTATTACGCAGCCCTTGAGTTCCTATTGCCATACTCAAGCAGGAGCGAGACTGTTCACTCTTTGGCGGTCTCCAGCTCGCTCTGTTAAGGCTGTTTTGGGTCCATGATAGAGCATTAGTCAGTCCTTGACACCCGCTTAGCATACATTCATTCAATTTATTCTGTTTTAGTTGTCACTGCTGTTAGTTAGCGCTGTCTGCCTGGGCAATAAAAGATATGACGTCGTCAACTGTTAACTGAAATTTTTCCACGCTTCAAATTTGTTAAATTTCATCAACATCAACATCAGCAGAAAGCAGAAATCTAGCGCCCGCCTCTTATCAAAGTCAAACAAAACAAGCGACGAGCGTGGCGTGGGCCAAAAATAAAATGTACACAAATATATAGTAGTTACATAGGAATATATAACGATATATATATATATATATAAATGTACATAGATGACGGCTTTTGCAAAACTTTACCAAGCCACTGGCTGGTTGGAGGTCGCTGCTGTTTGGAGAGAGGGAAGGGATCGGCGCTCGGTGCTAAAAGGCGTGGAATGCGCGGTTGGGCGCGTCTTCCAAGGCGTTGGCCAGTTAACGGCTTTGGCATTTTGGACAGCATCAGAACTTGGCAACAAATTGGACTTTTGTTTGTGTTTGCTAAAAGGCTTAATTTGTTGTGCTTCGGGTCTGGCGGCGCAAAACCTTATGAGAGCTAAGCGCACTATCTACTTCGACTTTACGCATACCTAAGCCAAACACTGAGAGCCTGTGCCATCTTCAAATGCAAAACCAGGCTAAAGTGCTTCAAATAACTTGACACCACCACGGGCAGCTAAATATGCTTGCGGTATGCGTGCGTGTGTGTGTGTGTGGCAAAAGTGTGTGGCGCTCGCCTAAATCAAGCTTAAACAATTTCAACTATTTGAATTACCGAGCAGGCACTCTAATGTGCCACAAACGCACACACACCCACACACATACATACGGCACACTCACACCCATTGTCAGTGGGTTTTAGCGGCTGGTGAAGCCTGATGACTCGCACATGGCACTCAGCTAACGACGTGCAAAAGTAAATGTCAAACTAATGCCAACAACCGAAGTGCCACCACAATGCGGGATGCAAGGTGGAGCTGGTGCGGAAGTCAGCGCAGGACCAAAAGGCAGTCACCTGCTGCAGCAGGCAGCAGGCAGCAGGCAGCAGGTAGCAGGCAGCAGGATGCAGGATGCGGGCTGCTATTCAACCGTCAACGGCCAAGCGCCAACTCAATAATGTAATGTCCCCTCATTGACATTTTAGGTTGATTTATGCAGTGGCCTGGCCTGCGTTTTGTGTGGTTGGGTGGTTGGGCGGTTGGCATCTCTATATTGATGGCTAACGCGGCAGCGGGTCGGCACGGAAACCGCAAAGTTTTACGCCATTTATTGCATTTAACGCTGGTGCTGACTGCTCAGCGGGTCTGCCTGTTGTACCTGCAAAAAAGAAGCAGAAGAAACGACAGAAACAGAAGCAGCGCCAGCAACACTTGTAACAAGGGCAGGCGGCGGGAGACGACCCCACGACACGTACATACTACACAGCATCTCATTTGGAAAGCTCGGGAGTGGAGCGGGCGCTGCTTATTAGATTAAAGTCCTAGTTGATAGTGTTGACTGTTCGATTGACAGCTCGGTGCAAGGCAAGAAACGTGATCGAGCTGTAAATTGGTATGAAAGTGTTGGCCACATAATGCACATGCAGCTCAGTTATTCAATCAATCAATCAGGCAGTCAATCAAACCATTAATCAAGCCGCACCTGCTGCCATATGATACTGAATTATACCTATACATACATATATATATATATATATATATATATATATATACATATATGTGTGTGTCTGGCAGTTAATATATTGACTCGAAACTCAATTAATTTCCCATGCTATCGATAATTGCAGCTATCGATAAACGACAGGGCGACAATGTTTGATTTTAATTTATTTATCGAATCTGTTTATGCGGCTGTCATGCACTAAAACAAATAGCAAAGTGAAAAAAATAAGGTATATTGGGGAGTGACCGACTAGAAGATACTCTGAAGCTTTTGTAGCAATCATATTGGGCACATGCTCATACACAGATGTACATAGACACGCACATATATAGACGTACATACATACATGCATGCAAACATACATACATACATGCATACATACATACATGCATACATACATGCATACATACATGCATGCATACATACATACACACATACATACATGCATACATACATACATGCATACATACATGCATACATACATACATACATACACATATACATATAAACACATAAGCAACTTCAGCTCTTCTTATAGTATCTTTATGTATCCAATATAGAAAATATACCTGGTCTGTATAGTAACACCAGGACCTGAATTCAACTGAGAATCTTTACCTTCTATGGTCTAGCAGATATGTGTTAAAGACCACGTTACACTGTCGATTCTTATCGTAGTGTGCTCAGCTATCGATAAATCATATCAGATTTGTATTGCGTACACGTCTGTCTCCTGTTAACTCCGGACGAACGGACATGGCAAGCATAGTGAGATCTGTTTAAGAAGTACCTTCTGGGTACTCCTGGGTACAGTTGCACCTAAGCCCATATGCCCTGCCTTCTATATTTCAATGGGTATATAAAACAAGCGTAGACATTTTGTTAAATCGAAACGAACAACAAATGGACGCACACATAAAGCAAATAACGTTAATGCGTAAAGCTT